CTACGAAATAAGAGTGCTCGAAAAGCAAGGTGCAAATCTCAGAGAAGATTCCCGGGCGATCAAAAAATGTAATTTCAAGGGCGGCACAATCTGAGCCAAAATGGTTAACGGTGACTATGTTGCCGTTTCTGATTTTGACCTGAGTTGTGCTGCAAGATCCTTTTTCTTTTTGAACGAGATTGAGAGAATCTTGCATATACTTTATGAGATTTGAATCTTTAATTTTGTATCCTTGGGGATCGGTAACATGAAAAGAATTCATGAACCAACTGCCATCCGATGAAATGTAGGACTTTGAGATGATGAGGTCTAAATCGCTCATAGCTTGAATAATTTTTAGCAGGATACCGTATCTGTTTGCCCCATGGACCTGCATTTATCTCAACAACAAAAATTAATATACAAGAGGAAAAAATCTATATATAATTTGTTTCAAAACATTAAAAGAAAATATTCTAATAGTAGAAGAGGAAAATACATTACCTTGATGATATTAAAATCATCACATATGTCATTATCAACAGACACCCTACAACAAACAATCAACAATCTTCATATTAACCTGATGAAAATAAAATATACCAACTAATTATTTACATTAGCGAAATTTATTTTTCTATTTAAGTATTAATAATTTCATTTTTTTTCTTACAAGAATAGTTGCATATCAATTTATGGAATCAAAGAAATAATAAAAAAACAATCCAAATTTAAATTATAATTACCCGAGCGGAGGAATGTATTCGAAAAGGGGAACGTAGTCAATGTCGAAGTAGGGGCAACCATGAGCCATTGTTGTGTCTCTGAAAGTGATAACTTTTCTTTTCTTTTAATTTTCTTGATAATAAAATTTACTCAATGGAGGCCTTAATATAATAAAATACATGAAATAATACCAAGTATTAATTTGAAATGAAGGAATGAAGCACATACAGTAACTAACAGAAGCGGAGGAAGAAGACGAAGCAGGAGAAGTCTGCACGATAACTGAGAGCTGGAACACAATTTGATTAAGATGGTAACGGATCCGTCGACGGAGATTATA